CAGAATTCAATCTGTTATAATTAGATTCATGAACTTCCAGGCATATTCATGAGATTAAAATGATGGTATAATGAAGCTGAAGTTATGGGCAGTTCTTTCTGCACATGCATTTGTAGCTGGTTTAACCAGCAGCTTTTATGGCCTTTGTGCTCTAGGGGTAATCTATAACCCTTTGTGCTCTAGGAGTAATCTATAACCCTAAAAGGGAGGTATTTCTGGGACGTGCTTAAGGAAGGTCTTCAAGGGAAGTTTCTGTGTTATAGAGCTGGGACTTGGCTCCTGTCACTCATGCCTGACTACCTGACAGTTTGATGCCTTTCACTACAAAATAAAATTAACAAATCTAAAACAAGCATTTTCTAAATGTAGATATATGTACATAAGTAAGAAAGGTCAATAAGGAGATACGCCAAGTTCGTAACTACGGAACTTCTTGATAACAGTGGACTAAGTAGCAGATAGTCAGGGGGTACTTTAGTTTTATATATATTGCTTGGATTTTTTAAAAAATGAAAATGTATATATACAGGTTGTGTCAATAATAAACACCGATAGATGAAATTCAACTGAGATTCTATCAAAATGTGCAAAATATTTTTTTTTTATCTTGCATAATGATAATGATCCACCTCAATGTGGTCCAAGGCTTTGGCAGGTTTAAATCAAGAATTTAAACTTTGGCATTCTATAGGCAAGTCCTTATTTTTATTAAATATATTGTGTGTATTTAGTATGTTCTGTACATTTAGAGACTATAAAAGGACACTTGCACACAAAAGTTTGTAATACCATATATATCTCTAAGATTTAGATACATTTCACTTCAGAATGTAACAATTTAGAACACTGGAAATATCTAGTGAGTACAGGGCTTGTGGAAATAGGCACAGTGTCACAGTGTACTGTTGAAGAGAAGGTAGTTTTCTAAAAACTCTTTAAAGAGAACTTACCATCTACCAAAACTGTAAATACTAGTTCCTTTTGATGCAGGATAGGGCAAATTCCCCACGTGGTGGGGAGACCAAGCTTTGTAGTGAGAGAGAAGAGGGTTCTTGGTAGAGAGTATAGAAAGAATTCAAACATATGCCAAAGTTAGAGTCAAAAGGAAAGTTTATTAGAGAAAGGGTAACACTTCATAGACATAGTGTGGTCTTCTTTCAGAGGCAGAGAGTGGGACAGCCTAAGAGAGAATCAGAGACAATAGAGATGAGGACAATAAGAGAGAGAGTAAAGACACTGACAGAGCACTGAGAGGGATCCCTAGTGTTTGAGGAATTCAGTTTATATATCATTCTAATGTAGGAAGGAGGAAGGAGAACTAAAATGTTAAATTAAGCTACTTTTAATGACTGAAATCTGCTGATCAGCCCTGCAGCCAGACCATGAGGACACTGCAAAACAAAGGAAGATTTCTGCTGTGAAGGGGAAACAGAAAAATAGAGTCTTTAAGTGGCTGTCCTATACAAAATAAAATTGTTTATTCCCTATGGTTAAAACCATGGGGAACCTATAGATTAAAGGCTTGGAACTGTCAGCAGGCCTTTCACACTACATACTCTTATCCTTCCTCACTTCATGTCCATATCAAAGAAAAATGGGTAAACAAAGTCTTTAAACTATAATGCATAGAAACTAAAGAATGATATATAAATTGAATTACCCCAAAGCTGGGATCCTTCTCAGTGCCTTTATTCTCGTGTCTCTCACTCTCCTTGCCTCTCTATTGTTTCTGTCCCTCTGAGTCTCTCTTAGCCTCTTTTACTCTCTGCATATGAGAGGAGATCACTCTGTCTGTGGAGTGTTACCTCTTCTCTAATAAACCTTCCTTTTGACTCTAATTTTGGTGTTGAATGCATTCTACATTCTGCCAAGAACCATTCTTTCTCAGCACAGGGCTTGGTCACCCCCCACTTGGAGGAATTTGCCTGTTCTGCCTCAATTTTTTAGTTTTATGCATTAGTTTAGACTTTGTTTACCCATTTACTTTGACGTCCAGTGAGGAAGGATAAAAGGTAAGAATACATAGAGTGAAATGCCCACTGACAGTTCCAAGCCTTTAATAGGTTCCCCATGGTTTTAGCCATAGGAAATAAACAATTTTATTTTGTGTAGGACAGCTGTTACTGGAGAGGACAGCGGGGATCCTCTCCTGGCATGCTGTGCAGGTTCTTGATGTCTCAAACAAAGAATTGAGCAAGACACCAAAATACAGTAGAAAAGAAAAGTTTTATTAGAAGAGAAAGTACACCTCCAGACATGGAAGCGAGCCTGAGCAAGAGAAGGGTGGCTCAAAAGACCTGGTAACAAAGCCTTTAGGGTTTTTATCCCTTTTTGCTGTGGATGGTTACTTAGAGTGGGCTTCCTTGATTGACAGCTAAAATTGACAGGACTCAATGATTCATCATTTTGCTTTCTGCACATGTTTGTTCCCAGAATTCAGTCTGTTATAATGATATTAATGAACTTCATATTATAATGATGGTATAATGAGACTCAGGTGAATTGAAGGTCGTTGGGGTCTTCATTACACAGGTGAGAGTGACTGGCTTAAACTGGTACCTAATTCTCTGCCTACTGGTTTCTTTGTGTGAGTTAAAAAATGCCTTCTGGCTTGCTTAATTGTGGGCGGATTAGGGAGGACCCCTTCTGAGATAGGATGACCTCAGTGTCTTTAAAGGCTGTCCCGAAAGTCCCTAACTAACTTTCCTGACTACCTCTTTTCTAAGAGTCATGAACCCCCTTATTATTGGTATGGTTGTTGAGGGACGGGAGGTCTCTTCTTCCGTATATGCTTACTGCTGAGAATGGCCTTAGTCCCTGCCTACAGGGGTTTCTTAGTCAGGGTGGGGTCTTGGGTTTCCTGCTAAAGTGCTGCCTCAGTCCTTAGATAAGGAAAAACGAAGATACAAACTTGTTATTGGGATCATATATCTAGTTACATTTCTATTATTGATTTGTCTATCAAGTGGGTAAAGGAAATCAGGCTTGGTAAATGTATTTATTAAGTTTCTAAAAGAGTAAAAAGACCTTTGGCCTAAAGTCTCCTCCCCTCTCAGACTCTAAGAGCCCTGCCTGGCTTAACACCATTTCTGTTTAACAATGGGCTGATGACCCTTATCAAGAGCCAGAGGATCTTAGTCACCAGTTTCGGGCAATTATCAGGATTTGAGGGAAAGGGCCTTTTTTCCAAAGAAAGGAGGGAAGAAAACTTAATTAGGTTTACTAAGAAGATTAACTCTGCAAGAGATGTGCCATTTCATTTCCTGCTAAATATTAAGAACTTTACAAGTGTTGTCCTGTCTCACAGCCACTTAAAGACTGTTTCTTCTTCACAGGTGTAGAAATGGGTTGTTAGCAATCTCAGCAGTAATCTTCCTTTGTTCTGCAGGTGTCCTCATGGCCTGGCTGCAGGGCTGATCAACATATTGCAGTCTTTGAATATAGTTTGATTTAACATTTTAGTTCTCTTGCCTCCTCTCTACATTACTTTGACTTAACAATTCCATTGCCAGGAATTTATCCTATCTAAAAGCACAAAAATATACATTAAAAAGCATTCAGCACAGCATTGTTTGTAAGTATAAGAAGAAAACCCTAGAACCCTTCTAAATATTCATAAATGTATGACTTGGGCACCAACAAGACAGTAATAGTAAAGTCAATGAGTGAGGAAGAATTTCAGGTGGTATCAGTCAGACTTAGTGGATAGGGGAAAGGCAGTGACCCTATGTCTCTAACTTGGACAATAGAGTGAATAGTTAAGGCATTAACTGAAATAGAGATAGCATAAAGTGTTTGCAGGATTATCTGGATGGAGATACCTAGTAAATATAATTAGTCCTAGGGCTGTGGGGAGAAACAATCTGTTGGAGGAAGTGTAAGGGTGAGGATGGAGGTGGCTGTCAAGCAGAAGAAATGAGAAAAAGCAAGAAGAAATGAGAATTAAAAAGAAGGTAAAATAGTGAACATAAAGAATTCTAAAGTAAAAGTATTAGCTAGAACTGTGTGTTTTACAAACAAGAATCCTAAGACTTGAGAATTATGTTAACTGATGTGATTAAAGCTACAAAGTTAAGGTATTGAAAAATGATTTGAACTTAGCCTCATCTTATTGCTGGGCACTATTCATTAAGCCAAAATGACCCTGTTATTTACAATTTGAGATTAGAAAAAAAGACATCCAATGTAATAAGCCAATGTAACAAAATTCCATGAAAAGTCAGAAGTGTCAAATATCAATGTCTGACAAGTCTCTGTAATCTCCATCAATCTGTAAAATAGAATAACAGAAGTAATTACATTTATTAATGTAGCTATTAATATATGGTCCAGGTACCATATGAAAATAATATCACCTAATTCTCATCAAATACTTGAAGGTATGTAACTTCTATCCTCGTCATACAGATGAAGAAATGGAGGCTCAGAAAGGTTGAGCGGCTTACCTAAGGTCATAGCATTGGCAAGGATGAGAGCTCTCATAGATGTTCATACCCACGAACTCTTCAATATGTTTTTCCTTGTGACACATTGTCTCTCTTTGGAGATAGTAATACTTACCTATCTACCTCCAATGTTGCCTTGAATTTCACCTGAAGAATTCTGGGGCCCAGAAATCTACCTTTTAAAATGGGATCCTGTTGTTTCTGATGTGGGTAGTCAATGGATTACACTCTAGGTAACACTGTTTTGTGTATTTTGAGAATAATAAACCATAGCAGGCTTATATAAATGTAATGATAATTATTATTGATCGCTATAAGTCTTGGAAGAGGCAAGTTAATTTTAATCTAAAAACCTAGGTATTTTTTGTTTGTATGTGTGTGCATGCGCATGAGTGTGTACATGTTTCCTGAATTCATGGGTGTGCGTGGATTTAGGTTTCTTTGTCAGTCCCATCAAGCTTGTCCAGATCTCTGAGTAGTTTCCTCATCCACACCCCTGGATGATTTTTCTAAGAACCGCATCAGTCACAGGCTTGCTTCCTTCTCATTTCCCAGGCATCAACAGTAAACAGCTTGGTGTTTGTGGCTGGATCCTGTTTTTTCTTTCTTTCCTATTGATGATCATTACCTTCCCTATCTCCATATGGATGTGCTTGAAGGTAATACCTTGGGAAATAAGTCGGGCTCTCTATATGGGTTAACGAACCATTAAGACTAAATGCTCTCCCTTAATCTCTTAGATCATTAAGGAGTATGAACGTGCTGTTGTATTCCGACTTGGACGCATTCAAGCTGGCAAAGCCAAAGGGCCAGGTATGACACTGCTGCTGCCCCTGACAAGAACTATTATAGGCACCTAATACTATTACTAGTGCTACCAGCATCTAGTGAGAGGCAAAGAAAAAACATAAGAAGCTAGAACCCTTGCCTTCCTGTACAATTGAAGGATGTTGTCCTATTATGTAAGTTAATGGGAGTGACCACTAGACCATTAGTTTAAGAGTGTAAAATTTTTAGACTTGTTTTTTAACACTTCCTCTGAGAGTTTCAGGTAATGTGAGCAAAGGGTAACTCTGGTTACATTGGCTGGGTGTCACTTATTACCAGGGCCACTAAAAGAATGACAGAAGGATGAAAAGAAGGAATAAAAGGCAAAAATAGATGATTAAGTTACTCAGGGAGCATATTCAAGGAGCTGGCTCTTGATTCTCACTATTTGAAAAGAGCTAATGGAAAAGTGAAAAATAAAATTTCCTCTCCTAGCAAGAAGATTAATAGAACTATAGAGCTGAATGTCATTATAGAACCCCTTTTGTCAAATGCAGTATATATTTCCATCCTTTCTCTACAACCTTAAAATGAAAAATGTTCCAATCTATTCATGTTATTAAAGGATTCGATTTTTGGGTTGGCAGGGGTAGTAAAGTAGCAGGTACTAAAACTCCCTAGAAGTAAGATATTGATTTAATAATAATAGCTTCTCTTGGTGTATATTTAACTGAACCATATGCAATTGCTAATATTTATTTTTGACTTATAAAAGTAGCAATTTCATGTGGTAAATTCTAATATTCTGGAGAGGAGCGGCTATCATAAGCAGTATCTTAGAAGACACATGAAAAACAATGGTTATTAGCTCTATTTCTCTAATATTTGTTTTCTGTTCTCTATTATGATATATTTGAGTAAAATCATTCTTTCTTCTACTAGACTATATGATCTCTGGGAGGTAGGAATTTTCTTAGTCACATGATATTCTGGGTGCTCTGCACTTGGCTGTATACCATGGTAAGCACTCAGATCCTGTTACATAAAAATATAAAATGAGAACCTTCAAAAAAAGAAGCTTGTTAAGGAGTCTTGGTCATTGCAAGTAGTATAATCCTATTTCTCTAATTTCATAAAAGACATAAAAGAAAGAGGGCAAGAATTATAGATGTTCTCATGAGTTTGTCAAAACAGAAGTGTTAGAATCATCCAACTTATGGATAAACGAACATGGTTAACCCTTTCATGTTGCATCTGCTGGAGCCAAGATTATAAATTAGAATAAAATTGGATTTGAGAGAGGTAGAAGAGTCATAATCAGGAATACTCTAGAGAAAAGTGTATCTCTTTCAAATAAATTTTCCGAGAAGATTTTATCATTAAATGTCCCAGGATAACTACCCTTGTCATGCATGTCTCTGGGGCAAATGAGTTACTTTAGAATCAAGAGCCGGAGTAATACTAGCCAAATTGGTAATGGAAAATCTCTTCACTTTTGTAAATTGTAAATTATTCTTTAATAATAAAAGCATTAATAATAAGAGATATCACTTCTTGAACAGTTAATACTTACCTGGCACTATGTTTAACACTTTATTTTGTTGCCTGTTGAATCATGCTTAATCTTCACTACTATCTTATAGATATTAGGTAACTGAAGCTCAGAAAACTTAAGTGAATGTTCCCAAGTTACAAGGTAGAACTGGGGCTTAATTCTCTTGTTTTAAGGGCCATGATCTTAACCAGTGACCTGGCACCAAAAAAAGGAAGTAAATCAGGCAGTAATCCTCAACATAAATCTCTGAAAGGATTAAAGACCAACAGAAAGAAAGCAGTTTAGCAGCGTTTTCTTTTGATGCTACCAGCCCTTTACAGGGTACTCACCCTAAATGCTTGTTTCTTCTTTGAAAACAATAACAATAGTACAAAATCATTCTGGTAAATGGAAATGGATTGGTGTCCCCATCTTGCTGAAATGCCTTGTGGTTCTAATCTTTGTAATTCTTGCCCTAGAGGACGTTCACCAGGGCAATGTTAAGAAGTCACAAGATCTTCACATGAGTTTTCTTAGC